ATGGTTACTTAAAATACCTGAATCTTAGTATACCTCAATCCCCAAACTGTGATGTGAATATGTATTTTAAATGTTGGTATAAAGATTAAAATAATCTAAATATATTAATTAGGAAACAGTGCCTGAATATAGTAAGCATTCCAAAATATCAGTTCCATGTATTGCATTTTTTGCATTCTGAATATTCTAAGCTGCTTTAAAGCTTTACAATATCAAATATTTGATATTTGCTCTTTCTTTCTCTCTCTCTTCTTTCTTTTTCACTCACTTAAATTTATTCAGCATCAACATTTAACGCTATGTAAGTGGCCTAGCCACTTTTATAAACAGACACCTTATACACATTTCTAGCATAACCTTGGAACTGCTTGTACTTTCTTTTCAGCACACCAATGTTAGGACATTTACAATTCATATTATCAGAAAGTCTTTTCATGTCTATATACAGCCCCTGGCATTTTGTACAATACATGTTAGTCCTTGAAACCAATGCATGGTAGCAACATAAATATTTTCAGAAGCAAATATGATTTGAATTTGTTTTTGTCCACACACTAAACCTCCACCTTTGTGGCCTCATTATATATTACAAACAAAAATTTCCTTGAGTTGTTTGACAAATGGCTCGGTTCTATATGTACGGGAGCTGTTCCAGAGTGGTTTCAATAGTGCTTACACTTTCTCAATAGCATGTTTTTAGTAGGGGAAAAGATAAAATAAAAAATGGCTCAGCTGTCCTGAGATGGTAACAGCACCAAAAAAACAGATGGATATGGTTAAAACTAAAGTGAGGTTAATTTAGCATCTTTCACACCACATTATTATTTAATATTCTTTGTTTTCCTATTTTAGAGCATTAGGTAAATGTGGTATATACATAGTCCCATACTGTTACAGAATAAGAAAACCTACTCTTTATATTTTCAGTGTGCACAAATGAATTAGAATGTACAGTCTTGTGATGATATTCACGTGTTCATAGATTATAGAGTCATCATAGCATACGGTATGAGAAGAACACTTTTGGAAAATAAAATGATAAGATATATAAAATGCCCACGCTCTTGAATCTAGTAATTATATGTCTTGAGACTTATCCTAAAAAGTAGTTTATAAAATAAGAAAAAATAAATACATGCTTATATGCTTAAAATAGCTTGAATATTTGTTACAGGTTGAATATACCTCATCAAAAATGCTTGTAACCAGAAGTGTTTTAGATTTTAGAGTTTTTTGGATTTGGAATATTCACATATACATAATGAGATATCTTGAGGATGAGACCCAAATCTAAATACAAATTCATTTTTGTTTTGTATACATCTTATACGCATAGATTGAAGGTAATTTTTAAAAATTTTTAAATAATTTTGCACATGAAACAAAGTTTTTGTATATTGAACCATCCAAAAGCAAATGTGTCACTATCTCAGGCACCTGTGTGGACAATCTGTGGTTGTTGGGCACCACCATCATTCCTGACTCTGAATTTGTATGCTACTGATGAGCAATCATTTTCCTATAGTTATTCACACATAAGTACTTAACTTTAAAAACATGACATAGCATTAATATGATGAAAAATTAATATTTTCTTGCTAACTAACCAGGATAATAGTGTCACCAGAATACCTGTATCAGATGTTAAGCAACAAGAATAATGATGGCTTTCCTTATACCTATGAATATGTGTTTTGATTAGAACATTACTGTTCATTGCATTTTATATTTTTGAGGTGAGAAGAAACATCAGAAGCAGTTGAGGGATCAAAAAGTGGGTTCTCTTGTGATGGGGAAGCATTCTGCTAAATAGTTTTAAAATGTTTCCTCAAAAAAATGCTTAATATCACTAATCATCAGAAAAATGTAAATTAAAACCACAATGAGATATCACCTTACTCCTGTTAGGATGGCTTTTTAAAAAAAGTCCAAAAATAATAGATGCTGGTGTGGATGTAGAGAGAAAGGAACACTTATACAATGCTGTTGAGACTGCAAATTAGTATAACTCCTATGGAAAACAGTATGAAGATTTCCCAAAGAACTAAAAGTAGACCTACCATTTGACCCCGCAATCCCACTACTGGGTATCTACCCAAAGGAAAAGAAGTCATTTTATCAAAAAGATACCTGGACACAAATGTTTATTACAATACAATTCACAATTGCAAAGATGTGAAATCAACTCAAGTGCCCATCAGTTCATGAGTGGATTAACAAAATGTGGCATATGTATATCATGGAGTACTGCTTAGCCATAAAAAAGGGTGAATTATTGTCTTTTGCAGCCATTTGGAAGGACCTTGAGTATACTATTCTAAGCAAAATATATCAAGAATAGAAAAATAAACACCACATGTACTCTGTAATAGATTGGAAGTAATCAATGGGCACACAAGTGCACAGAGGAAGGTAAAAATCATTGGAAATCAAGCGAGGAGTGGGAAAGAGGGGAGGAGAAAAAACGCCTAATGGGTACAATGAACACTATTCAGGTGATGGGCGTATTTATAGCCCTAACTCAAGCCATGTATCAGAAACATCTGTACCCTCTTTATATTTTGAAATAAAAATATAAACAAATAAATAAATGTAAAGAAATAAAATAAAATGTTTCCTCTGGAGTCATCTGCCTCATTAAAAATGTCCATTATTAAAAAGTAAAAAAAATAGATGTTGGCATGAATGTGGTGAAAAGGGAATGTTTATACACTGTTGATAGGAATGTAAATTAGTACAAGCTCTATAGAAAACAATATGGAGATTCCTCAAAGACCTAAAAGCAGATCTACCATTCGATACAGCAGTCTCACTAATGGGTATCTACCCAAAGGAAAAGAAGTCATTTTGTTAAACAAGGCATCTACACCTGAATGTTTATTGCAGCACAATTCACAATTGCAAAGATATGGAATCAACTGATAAGTGGATAAAGAAAATGTGGGGTCATGCATACACACATACACACACACACACACACACACACACACACACACACACACACCCATAGTGTAATATTCAACCATAAGAAGCAATGACATGATATCTTTTGCAGCAACATGGTTGGAACTGGAGGCCATTATCTTAAGTGAAATATCTCAGGAATGGAAAAAAAAACATGTTCTCTCTTACAAGTGGGAGCTAAATGATGGGTATATGTGGTTGTAAAGTGGTGTAATGGACATTTAAAACTAAGACAGAGAGGTTGGGAGGGGGGTGAGGGATAAAAATATACTGTATCAGGTACAATGTACAGCATTCTGGTGATAGGTACACTAAAAATCCTACCTTCCACATTATGCAATTCATCCATGTAACAAAATCACTTGTACCTCATAAGTCTATTGAAATAAAAATTGAATGATTTTTGTCTTAGAATTTTCTCTTTTATTTTATAAAATGATATAATTTCTCCTTTAATTTTTTAAAAAACATCTTCACAAATGCATAATAGTTGTATATATTCCTGAGATACATATTATATTTTCATACAAGCATAAAATGTGTAATGATCATACCTGGGTAACTGAGACATTCATCACCCCTAACATTTGTCATCTTTGTGTTGGGGACTTTTCAAATCTATTCTTATAATTATTTTGAAATATACAATACATTATTGTTAACTGTAGCTGCTCTACTGACTACCAAACACTAGATCTTATTCCTTCTATGTAATTGTATATTTTTTACCTTTTAGCAACCCATTTTTATCCCCTCCTGCTAAACAATACTCCACAGAAAGACAAATGTCACATGTTCTCACTCCTATGTGGGAGCTAGAAAAGTTGATTTTATGGAGGTAGTGAATATAATGATGGTTACCAGAGGCTGACATTATTTCTTATTCTCTTATTAATATATACTGCTCTAATCCTTTAATGAGCCTGTCACACATTTTTACCATGTCATCTATAGGCACTCTTTCTGCAGTGTTAACAATGTCATCTTTATCATCATTACTATCATGATCACCTAGATTCAGAATCATTTAGGTAATTTTACCATCTGTCAATGAAGGAATAACTAGTTTCATTATCAGTGTTTAAAACGTTTCTGATATCCACTTTTTCCAGATTACTGATGGACTCTGAAGGTATGTTTTGCATATGTAAGGAAGTTAGACATCATTTATGTTCTCCCTTGACATACAGATGTTAATCCTTCAAAGTTAACATTTTCTTTGTCACCATCAATGAACATAGTCATAGGCTAGAGGTTGTGCCACGTATACACAACTGTGTTTTTAGTCACTGGGTTCCAAGCATTGTCAATAGACTATACAGCATACATGCTAAGCATTTTTGAAAATCTTCTACATCCATGCCTCTGTCCACTGCTGCTAACATACTATTCAATAAAGTATTTATATATTTACTCCTCACTGATCGAAGGATGCCCAGTCACATGGCTAGATTAATGAATTCACATTTGTTGAAAAGTACCTGGTACAAACATTATTTTTGATGGGAATTTCAGCTGGAGGATGTGCATAAGAATTGTCAAGAAATAACAAAATCCTGCTATTGTCATCCAGTCCAGCTTCCCTGCAGTGAGCATAAGCCACTGTTATAGAATGTTTATGAAACCAATCAGATCAGACGTCCCTGGTGATCCATGCATCTTGTTAGAATAAAGGACTGATAAGAAATTCATTCCTTGAAACCAATGAGGATGCAAGCTTTTGCTTATCACAGCAAGTTTATACTTAGGCATGTCTGCTGCATTGGCATATCCCAGCATAGTTATTCTGTTCCTTGCGTCCTTAATTCCCATAAGGCCTGTCTCATCAGCTGTAATCAGTGTCTTTCTGGGGCAGTATCACCAAAACAGTGATGTTTTATCATCATTATAGACTTGTTCTGGCATCAAATTTTCCTTAGCAATAACTCTGGCAAACTCATCAATGAATTACTCTACTTCATGATTAGTAGATGCTTTATCACCAAAAATCACTAAAAATGTAATGCCATGTATTTTCTAAAATTTATGCAACCAACCTGTTGGACAGTCATCATGGTTTCTTCAATTTCCAGTTCATCATGATAGATCTTTGCTTGTTTCATGATCAGCACACCATGAAGTGGCATGTGTTACTGCAATTCTGATGGATCTCATCTTTCAGTACATGATTGAGATTTTAATTTTTAGCTTCATGCAGTTTTTTTTTTCTATTTTTCATTAACTTCTGTTCATCACTCTTGGCACAGAACTTCAACAGTTTATCCTCCTGTTTATTCAGATCATATATGGTGGTCATTATAATACCATACTCTTCTGTAAGACATTTCACACTTACACTGATGCCCACTTTCTTCAAAAGCATGACTTTCTGTGCTATAAATAAACATACATAACATATTGCCTATTTTTCTTATCACTATTACTCATAGGGATATCTGCAACCCTGTTGACATTTTCAACAATATCTTTAAATCACAAAGTGGAGAATAAACAAACAAACAAAAAACACAGTGAGAAATACATGTAGGTCTTGGCCCCATTATGGAGAACCTGCCATTACTGCATTTGACTTGCACATGTGCCATTTTATTACTCTTTGTGGGTGTTCTTTCATAGGGGAATCTGGGCGTGCACTGAGGAGAAATATCACAGCAGAAGGGGACTAGAACAGTCCCCCCCTTAGGGATGCTGAATAAACTGTGTTATGTGCCTGTGTTTTAACTACGACACATTACATGAGGTCATGTGTGGAATTTTCCACTTGTGACATCATGTTGGCACTCCCAAAGCTTTGGATTTTGGAGTACTTAGGATTTTGGATGTTTTAGATTAGGGATGCTCAACCTTTATAGGCCAGAATATCGCTGTTGGAAACCTAGTGATGTTATAAGAAATAGAACATGGAAATATAGAAATATGGTATAGCAAGAACATCCTATATGCTAGGGGCTTTGAGTGCCAACTTGGCCCTTCCCACAGCATAATAACAATAAAACAGTACATTCCAATAGGCAATCATTCCAATAGGCAATTTTCTTATTTTGTGTAAATTACATTGACCACAAATATCAGAGTCTACCTCCAAAGAACTAGGGAGAAAGCAAGGTGCTAGGACTATTATATATTTATTGCCATGTTTGTTTTCTGGTTCAGTAGTAAATGCAAGTAAAAGTGACTTTACCTGAGTATCTCCAAATTTCTTATAGACATGGTTTTGTATTCTGGTTTATATCAATTGGTGCATATAGCAGGATTGGCAAGAAGATAAAAGTTTATTTTCCAGCCCCCACCATCTAGTTGAAAGAATTTATCACGTAGTATTTGGAAGCATTTAGGCTACATTCTATGGAAGTCCTTTGTAATTTTATTGGGACATTTTATATTAATAGTTGGAAGAAAATCCTTTCTTAACAGCTAGGGCAGAGTTAATGGTCTCAAAAGTACAGATAAAAATGGAGGCACTTGGCAAATAGGAAGTATCGGAGGCCAAGATAACAGCTGAGTGAGGGATGAGGCTGTGAGTTTAGAGGGGTTAGCATTAGTGACTGGACCCATCAGAGCTTTTCATCAGGATGCAGCTGTGGTTGTTCTTAAGAGCATGTACCAAAAACCTGGGAAGCTAAGCCTAGTCTACTTGTCCCTGGCCCCTTTCCTCTCCATACCCTATAACTTCATGGCAGTGTAACACCAGAGAAAGGCTTCATTCCAATGATAGACTTTCTCTTTTCCACTTAGCTTTGTTGAAATATAACTGAAAATATTTAATAAAAATTGTACATATTTACAATGTACAACATGATGCTTATATGTATGTATATATACACCTTATGAAATGACTACCATAATCAAGCCAATTAACACATCTATCAACATATAGTTACCATTTTTGTGTGTGGCCAAGAGCACTTTAAGATATACTCTCTTATCAGATTGCAAATATATAATACAGTATTAACAATTATAGACACCATATTGTACATTATATTGCAAATATATATTCATCTTATAACTAAAAGTTTGTATTCTTTGACCAACATCAACCCATCCCTTCCCAATCCCAGACCCTAGAAACCACCATTCTATTCTCTACTTCTATGAGTTCAGCCCTTTTGGATTCTACATATAAGTTGAGATCATATAAGTATTGGTCATTCTATGTCTGGTTTATTTCACTTAGCATAATGTCCTATACGTCATCTATATTGTTAAAAATAATAGGATTTCCTTCTTTTTATGGCTGAATAATATCCCTTTGTATGTATATATCACTTTTTTTATCTATTCATATATCATAGGCACTTAACTTGTTTTTATATGTGGCTATTGTGAATAATGCTGCAATAAACATGGGAGGGCAGATATCTTTTGAGAGACTGATATCATAAAAATGGTGAACAGTTATATAAAAAAGTACTGAAAATCACTAATCACTAAGGAAATTAAAATAAAAATCACAATGAGTTATCATCTCATACCTGTTAGGGTACCTCTTATCATAAAGACAAGAAATATTTTGATACAAGCATAAATTGTGAATTAATCAAATCAGGGTAATTGGAGCATCTGTCATCTCAGGTATTTTTTATGTTTCTTTGTGTTAGGAATATTCTAATTCCACTCTTTTCCTTATTTGAAAGTATACCCTAACTTACTGTTGATTATAATCACTTTGTTTTGCTATCAAATATTGTATATTCTATTTAACCATCTAACTATATTTTTGCATACATTAATCATCCCACTTTATCCCCACCTACTCACTACCCTTCTCAGTCTCTGGTAACTGTTGTTCTACTCTCTGTCTCCATCAGATCAATTGTTTTTAATATTTAGCTCCTACATATGAATGAGAACTTTTGAGCACATCACATGTACCCTATAAAGATATACAACTACTATGTACACGTAATAATTTAAGAATAAATAAATCAATAAATAAAATAAGAGATAAAAAGTATTGGTGAGGATGTAGATTAAAGAGAACCTTTGTATATTGTTAGTAGTAATGCAAATTGGTGCTGCCATTACGGAAAACAGTATGGAGGTTCCTTAAAAAATTAAAAATAGAACTACCTTATGCTCAAACAATCCCAATTCTGGTTATATATCTAGTCAAAGCCTTCTTATTGTTTCTTTCCAGGTGACAGTTTCTCGCATGTTTATAATCTCTTTCCCATTACAACACTTCAGTGGACATTATGCATCAAACAAGAACCTGGAGAAAATCTCTAAATGGAAAGATTGTTTACTAAATTTTACAGGCTTTATTGATGAGTCTACCTGTGGTTTTATGATCTTGTCTGTGACTTCTATTAAGGCCAAAAGATCTGATTCATAACATAGTAATTTTATTCTTTTAAGTATAAGCAGAGAACAATTTTAGGGAAAGTGACTGATCTGGATTCTTTAGTCGTACAACAGGTTTATTTGGTAGTTTTGGAAAATTAACCTAATATTTGCCATAGGAAGGAAGAAAGGCCAGCTCAACAGGATGATGGCCAGCTTAACGGTCAGCTCTGAGAGCACAGAGTCAAGGAGAAAAGTCTGCACTTAAAAATGCCCAACCTACTGCTCTTTGTAGAGTTGGTTGGGTGGCCAGTAATGCCATGGCTAAACTTTTGTTCTAAAGTCTCTCAAAAATAAAAAAATGTAAGCGTTGTGTCCACTCTAGTTCTCTAGGGAGAGACTTGATCTGTGTAGACGGATGAGGACTGAATGTCCTATCAGATTACTAGGTTGCCTTTTGTTGAAAGATGCTGTCAGTAGTGGCAGCATCCATGGAACCTGTCCAGTGACAAGATTCTGAGTGGAAGTACCTGGCACAGCAACTGGTATGCATACTGCAGCACCTTCTGCAAAGCATATGACTAAATAAACCATAGCTGATGTGGTAAGACAGGTGCTAGCTAAGAGTCAGGAGGCACCAAACTGTATCTCCTAGATATCTGGGATTGCATATATGAGTGGTCATCCATAATGATACCTTCATAGTGTTTTTTATTAACTTCTGCATAAATTCAGATATTGGATAGTTGTTTTATTTGGGGGGGGTGTTTTTTTTACTCAAGAGGTGTCCTGGACTATGAATCTGACTTCTTAGTCTTTGAGGTCCCAAGGATAAGTGTGCGAAGAGAGCAGCTGCCATGACTAGCAAGCGACAGGGCATCTCAAATTTTTTTTTAATTTATTCTTTTTTTTATTTTAGCGTATTATGGGGGTACAGGTGTTAAGGTTACTTATCTTGCCCATGCCCCCCTGACCCCTCGAGTAAGAGCTTCAAGCATGTCCATCCACCAAACGTTGCACATCTTACTCGTTGTGGTTGTATATACCCCACCCTCTTGCCCCCTCCCACCCTCCCAACACACAATAAATGTTACTCCTATATGTCCACTTAGGTGTTGATCCGTTAATACCAATTTGCTCGTGAGTACATGTGGTGCTTGTTTTTCCATTCTTGAGATACTTCACTTAGTAGAATGGGTTCCAGCTGTATCCAGGAATATACACGAGGTGCTATATCACCATTGTTTCTTAAAGCTGAGTAGTATTCCATGGTATACATATACCACATTTTATTAATCCACTCATGAATTGGTGGGCACTTGGGTTGTTTCCGTAGCTTTGCAATTGTGAATCGTGCAGCTATAAACATTCCAGTGCAGGTGTCTTTTTCATAAAGTGACTTTTGATCTTTTGGGTAGATGCCCAGTAGTGGAATTGCTGGATCAAATGGTAGATCTACTCGTATTGCTTTGTGGTATCTCCATATTGCTTTCCACAGAGGTTGAACTAGTTTGCAGTCCCACCAGCAGTGTAGGAGTGTTCCTCTCTCTCCACATCCACAGCCAACATTTATTGTTTGGAGACTTTTTGATAAAGGCCATTCTCACTGGAGTTAAGTGATATCTCATTGTGGTTTTGATTTGCATTTCCCTGATGATTAGAGATGTTGAATATTTTTTCATATGTTTGTTGGCCATTATTCTGTCTTTTTTGAGAAGTTTCTGTTTCATGTCCTTTGCCCATTTTTTGATAGGTTCTTTGATTTTTCTTGCTGATTTTCCTGAGTTCTAAATAGAATCTAGTTATCAGCCTTTATCAGATGTGTAGCCTGCAAAAATTTTCTCCCATTCTGTGGGTTGTCTGTTTGTTCTCTTGACAGTTTCTTCAGCTGTGCAGAAGCTTTTTAATTTCATTAGGTCCCATTTGTTTATTTTCGTTGCTGCTGTGATTGCCTTTGGGGTGTTCTTCATAAATTCTTTG